AAACAAACTATTCAGCAAAAATGTGAGATCCTAAAAACTCAGGCAGACAGTTTTAAAGAACAGCTCCGTAACACAAATGAACACTTGCACAAGCAGACAAAAACAGAACAAGATTTCCTGAGGAAAATCAAATGTCTAGAAGAAGACTTGGCTAAAACTCAAAGTCTGGTTAATGAATTTAAGCAGAAATGTGACCAGCAGGACATTATCATCCAGAATACCGAGAAGGAGGTTAGAAATCTGAATGCTGAGCTGAATGCATCCAAAGAGCAAAAGAGACTTGGTGAGAAGAAGGTAAAGATCCAGGAAGCCCAAGTGCAAGAATTAAATAATAGGTTGAAGAAGGTCCAAGATGAATTGCACCTAAAGACTATAGAGGAGCAGATGGCACACCAAAAGATGGTTCTGTTTCAGGAAGAATCTGCTAAGTTCAAACGCTCTGCAGAGGAATTTAGGAAGAAAGTAGAAAAATTAATGGACTCCAAAGTCATTACTGAAAATGATCTTTCAGGCATAAAACTTGATTTTGTATCTCTTCAGCGAGAAAACTGTATAGCCCAAGAGAATGCTAAGTTATATGAAACTGATATTAAAGAATTAGAAGGAAGACTTCAACAGTACCGAGAACAAATGCAACAAGGAAAGAACACAGAAGCACATCATTACCAAAAATGTCGTCGACTTGAGGAGGAGCTGAGGGCACAGAAACGGGAGGTCGCAAACCTGAAGCAGAAAATGGATCAGCAGGTAAAGGAGCGTGAACACCAGTTAGTTTTGCTTCAGAGTGAGATCCAGAGAAAGAATTTAACTAAAGATTGCAGCTTCAAACCAGACTTTGAGTATAAATACTGTGGCGACCTCTCCTCTAGGGGAATTGAGCAACTTCCACAAAAGGCACAATCTTCTCTGTTGAGATGGGAATCAAAAGGGTTTCCGAGTGTACAATTGGAGGAAAAAAGGCTCCCTAAGGGTGCTGAACAGATAGCCAAAGAAGTCCAGTTCCATCTACCAAGAGCTACACTAGAGGATGAAAAAAGCCAACAATGCTACTCTGAGTATTTTTCTCAGACGAGTACTGAGTTGCAGATAACTTTTGATGAAACAAACCCAATTACAAGACTGTCAGAAATGGAAAAGCTAAGAGATAAAGCTCTGTACAATTCCATATCGCCTGTTAGATATCAAGATGACACCTCTGAGATGGAACTGGTGAAACTCATGAAGCCTTTGGAGGTATACTATATTTTCTGTCAACTATTAGCATTTTCAGGCCAGTTTCCTCTTTTTCCACTGTTTTCTTTAGTGCTCTATTGATTATTTAAAAATATTCATTTGTTCATTTAGCAAGCATTTATTTATTATACAATTATTGCTTTATAGTTCTAGTTGGGAAAATAATGCTGCTGCACTTTCCCAGTATGTGGTAGATTTGTTTGCATCTTAGATGTTGTATCTTTAAAAGTATGGAGATTAAACGTGTGCAGATATAGAATGAATTTCTGCAGGGCTTTAAGAATTGATATTTTGTAAAATGTGGAGGCAGGGAAAAACATAGAACTAACCAGACAAAATAATTCCTAATTTGCAGTGTAAACAAACAGATTTCGTTTTAGTCATTTAATCTCAAAAATTAGGATTATGAGAAAATTTCAGACTTGGTATTTCTTTAAAGCCTTTTCTATAAGGGAAGTATGGTACAGTGAAAAGATGATGGGCTCTGAAATCAAGTATGTGTGACTTTGAGTGAGTCATTCAACCTGCTTCAGCCTCAATTTCCTCATATGTATGAAGGGGGTTGGATTAGATGTCTTTTAAGGACTCTTCCGATTCTAGATCTGTGATTCTAGTTATGACCTATCTTCTTTACAATTTCTCCAGCTTTTGTTCTGTTCTCTGTTCTTTGAGGCATAGTGTTTGGATTACGGGTGAGTATGATTCTTTAGATTGACTCCTATAAAACAATTCCTTATTGTTTTATAAATTCCTGTTTACAGATAGCTAAGAACAAGCAGTATGATATGCATGTTGAAGTCACAACATTAAAGCAAGAAAAAGACCTAGTTCCAGATCATGAAGAGCGAATACTTGAAGTATTCAGAACCTCAGATGGATTCAAAAGAGAATTGCCTAAGCTGAATTCTACCAGTTTAGAACAGGAGAATTTCCAGAATGTTAGCAGAAGTTATGACTGTTCTATCAGAGATGATGAATTTACATTTCAGGGTCTCCGACACATGGTAACTGCCAGGCAGTTGATTGAGGTGAAGCTTCTGGACATGGGCACAGTTGAGCAGCTGCGCCTTGGTCTTAAGTCTATGGAGGATATTCAGAAAAGTCTTAGCAAGTTTTTGACTAAATCTACAGCAATTGCAGGGCTATACTTGGAATCTACCAAAGAAAGAATGACATTCACCTTAGCAGCCAAGAAAATAATAATAGATAAAGCCCTAGCCTTAGCATTTTTAGAAGCTCAAGCAGCAACCGGCTTTATTATTGATCCCATCTCAGGGCAGAAATATTCTGTGGAGGATGCTCTTATTAAGGGGGTTGTGGATAATGAATTCAGAAGTCGGCTACTTGAGGCTGAGAAGGCAGTCCTTGGATATCTGCAAGGTTCAAAGAAGTTGTCAGTGTTTCAAGCTATTGAGAGCAGGCTGCTTGAAAGAAGAAAAGGAAAGCATATCTTGGAGGCCCAGATTGGGTGTGGAGGAGTCATTGATCCTGTGAGAAGTGTTCGAGTGCCTCCAGAAATAGCTGTGCAGCTGGGCTTGCTGAATAATGCCATTTTACAATTTTTACATGAGCCATCAAGCAACACCAGGGCTTTCCCTAACCCCAATAACAAACAAGTTCTCTATTACTCAGAACTGCTGAGAATGTGTGTCTTTGACATAGACAGTAGATGCTTTTTGCTTCCATTTGGAGAAAGGAAAATTTCCAACCTCTCTGTAGAAAAAGCTCAGAAAGTTTCTGTAGTCGACATAAAGACAGGAGCAGAACTGACTGCATTTGAGGCTTTCCAAAGGAATCTTATTGAGAAAAACACCTATCTTGAGCTCTCGAGACAACAGTATGAGTGGAAGGAAGCCACATTCTTTGATTCCTGTGGAAAGGCTTCTCATCTGCTGACTGATGTTAAAACAGGACTGCAGTTTAGTATCAATGAGGCAGTAGAAGAGGGAGTGATTGACAGAGCCCTGGTTAAGAAATGTCAGGAAGGTATCATCACACCCACTGAGCTTGCTGATACTTTGCTGAGCAAGTTAGTTCCAAAGAAGGATTTAAACAGCCCAATTGCAGGGTACTGGCTCTCTGATTCTGGCGAAAGAATCTCAGTTCTCAAAGCTTCACGCAGAAATCTGATCGATCGGATTACTGCACTTAGATGCCTTGAAGCTCAAGTCAGTACAGGTGGTATCATTGACCCACTTACAGGCAAAAAGTTCAGGGTGACTGAAGCTTTGCATAGAGGGTTGATCGATGAGTCATGTGCCCAGCAGCTACGGCAGTGTGAGGTGGTGTTCAGGGGGATTATTCATCCGGTCACTAACCAGACTATGTCGGTGGTTGAAGCCATGAGCACAAGTGTTCTGAGCATAGAACTTGGGATTCGATGTTTGGAGTTCCAGCACTTGACAGGTGGGTTAATCCACCCACAGTCCAGCATGAGGTTGTCAATAGAAGAAGCTCTCAAAGAGGGGATCCTTGATGTCCTCACTGCTTCAAAGCTCAAAGATCAGAAGCCGCATGTCAGAGATATAATATGCCCCAAAACTAAAAGGAAGTTGACCTACAAAGAGGCCTTAGAGAAAGCAGATTTTGATTTTCACACAGGGCTAAGACTCCTAGAAGCATCAGAGCCCCTCATGTCTGGGATTTCCAGTCTCTACTATTCTTCATAAAATTCAGTAACTTTACAGTAGTGCTTATGATATTGTCTCCTTTTAGTCACTAAATACTCACTATTGGTTTCTTGTTGGGTTAGAAACTGCTGACTTCAGAGAGTGTTTATTATATTTAAAACAGCATAGTTATGGCTGAAGAAGAATTGAAATAGTTTCATTTAGTTTTGAGATTAGTTTGGTAAACCTGTCTAGGATAAATCATCTTCTATATCCAAATGTGAACAGGATGAGCTCAACCAAGTTCATCATGTTCTGTCATTCCTTCAGAGCTGTTCTAATCTTTATCAGTCCTGGCCTCAAGCTAGGGGCTCCATTTCCTGAATGATGCAGTACTCTGAGATCAACTATAAGGTGATTTTGGAGCAGCACCAAGAACAAAAAAAAAAAAAAGAGAAAGATCTGCAGCTGGCCCAGTATACCTAGGTCTTCTGAGTTTCAGAGTGTATTGAAAAATAAAATCATTTTTAGTTTTCTTGTACGTATTACACCTCCAGACATCTTAAAATAATTAATAAAAGTTGCATATATTTTCCAGACCTTGAATTAAGATGCTAAGGAATTTAAAATTTATTTGTTGTGGTAAGGGGGTGGGTGGAAGTGGTGGCTCATCATTATTTGATTAGCTATTGCTGGAAATATTCATATTTTTCTGTATATTTTTTTCTTCTGTGAACATGCTCTGTATTCCTCTGACTTGATAACCTATTCAAGACTCTTTTGTATCAATGACTCTTAACTTGTAATGCTAATGCAAAGGCAGCATTTCAAAGATTTTTAGATCTTGAATAAAGCCATAATTAATGGTTTGTCATATTGAATAATCACAAGGAAGTTAGATTGATATTTCTGCAAGGTTTTGGTGTGATTCAAAGCTTTGATTTTTGTTTTTATTGCCATTGCAAACATTTGGTGCCCCCTTTCCAGAGAAATCTTGAATCTTTATCACAACAGAGTAACGTGTGGTACATGTGGTTATATCTATGAATAAAACATTGCACTAGCCCTGGTATCGATAATGTTGTTTTCACAAGTTTGTTTGCTAAGTAGAATCTAACACCTCAATAATATATTTTTTTTGCAACTCATGCTTGCCAGAAGTCTCTCGAAGAAGAAAAGAAAGAACATGTTGAAAAAGCCAAAGAGCTACAGAAATGGGTATCAAATATTAGCAAGACATTGAAAGAAGGCGAGAAGGCTGGCAAATCATCCTTCTCAAAGCAGCAGGTACTCACTCATGGTGTCTGTCTGGGGTTATGCCTGCTTCCTGGATTATACTAAGAAACTGAAGTCACTCTGTTTCCTTCCCAAAATAAAAAAATATTGACTATTATTAAGATAGTTTCACCATGTTTAGCATATGAATTCTTGTTCTTAGGTCTAAACATGAAAAGACTAAAAAAATTTTTTTAAAGCAAAAGTAGGGAAAAACTCAAAAAGCATGTATTAAGAGTTCATTATGTGCCAGGCACTGTCCTAAGCTGTAGAGACATAAAAGAAAGGCAAAAAGTCCCTGTCCTCAAGGAGCTTACATTCTAATTGGTGAGATAATATGTAAATAAATAGTTACATACACAGTACATATAGAGTAGATGGAAAATAACCTTAGAAGAGAAGGCTTTAGAAGCCTTGGGGACTAGAAAAGCCTCCTGAAGGAGATGACACTTTACATAAGTTTTGAAGGAAGCCAATGATTCTATGAGGCAGAGGTGAGGAAGCAAAGTACACCAGACATACGCAGCCAGTCACAGACAGAGATGAGAGATGAAGTGTCATGTGCAAATTAGCCCAAAGAGTATAAAGTAATTTTGAACATGTAAATCAGTTGATGTGCTTTTCATAGGCATCTTAGATATAGAGGATATGTAGAGGTCAGATTGTTTACTAAAAAGTTTATGTCTTACCTGCCCAAATGCTAGATCTTTTCTGTCCTGGAAGATATAACATGGAGTTGGAAAAATACTGAAGTAGGAATTAGGAGAGCCACGAGTTACATTCCTGCTTCTGATATTCTGACCAAGTCATAGGATCATAGATTTAGAGCTGGGAGAGTCCTTAGAGGCCATCTAGTACTTCCTTATTTTGCAGATGAGGAGACTGAGACCAAAGGAGGTTAAGTGACATGACCAAGGTCATACAAGCAGTAATCTTCAGACTGTACACCCATTGCTCTTTTCACTGAAACTTTGTGACCTTTAGGTCCTCATCTATTAAAATGGAGATAATAATAACTACAAGGATGCGTACTTTGAAGGATTATGGGGAGGATCCAGCGAGATAATACATGTAAAGCACTTTGAAAACCTTAAAGCATGATATGAATAACTATTATTGTTGCCTAAATAAAGCAATCACTTCTTATGAATTTTTATCCTAAATGGAATCTTTTTAATTAAACTCTAACAAAGGAGTTGTTTGTTCCATTCTCACTTGGTGTTACCATATTTGTGAGGTCTTTGTGCTCCACTAGCACCTATTGTAATTTGCTGCATAAACTCTGGTGGAGCAGTGGAGGTATCTTCTCTTCCTGCTGCTCATCACTCACAGGTCTGTGGTCACCATTGCTACTTATCATTCTGTGATTTTTTTCCTTGCTGAGTAAGTAGCATTTTCTGGCTCTAACACTTACTAGATATGTGACTGTTAGGCAGAAGGACTTCAAGTCATGGAGCTTCAGTGAGAGTAATCGTCATTGTGAGAGTTAGTCCTCTAAACCTACTTTCCTGAGGATTGTTTTCTTAGTAATCATTCCATCGGTCAAGCAGTTCACAAGCATTTATTAATCTAGTATGCCAAGTCCTAGAAATAAAAAAGAAAATGAATAAATACAACAACAGTCCTTGCTCTCAAAGAGGTTACATTTTAATCAGTGATACCACATGTAAATAAAAAGATATACATAAAGATGTAGTAGAAAAATACTTATCCTGAAGTCCACAGACATCTTGGGGGCCTTTTTTTGATATGTATTTTGTTTTTCCCCCAATTACATGTTAAAACAATTTTTTTAACCTTTTTTTTTTAAAGTTTTGAGTTTCAAATTTTATCCCTCCTTCTCTCCTCCCTGAGATGGTAAGCTATCAGATAAAGGTAATACATATGCAATCATGTAAAACACTTCCATATTAGTCACACCTTATGGGTCTTTAGAGATGCTCTGAACTTGGATGGAAAAAAAGTTACATCTTTATTTTCACTAATTTCTAACTGAAAATTATATTTCTTAAAATTATTTAAAAAAAAGATTATTCTGAGAAAGGGTCCATAGGTTTCACCAGATTGCCAAAGGGTTCATGACATAAAAATGGGTAATAACTGCTGGAAGAGAACAAAGGTAGCCTTAGAGAGAGGAAGGCTCAGTTAGCCAGGGGTAGGTGTAGGGGACCAAGAAGGATCATCTCCAGAAGGTGGCTTTTGAACTGAGTCTTAAAAGGAGCTGGGGATATTAGGAGGTAGGGGTAAGGAGGGTTGATTTCAAGGATGAGAGAGAGCCAGTTTAAAGGTATAGAAAGTAGAGACAGAGGAACAACATAGCTCACATTTATATAGTACTTTATAGTTTACAGAAGCAGTACATTTGTGCCTGAGCTAATGCACAGACATTTTATAAATAAATAAAATGCTTTTTGAATTGTAAAGCGCTATGTAAATGTGATCTGTTGTTTTATTCCTCCTCCCCCCTTTCGGTATTAGAGAACCACTGTAAGAGAAGCACATTCGGGGCCCTAAGTCTTGTACAAATCTTCCGTCCAGGTAGGCACTACTAAACACATGCCACCAAATGACCCCTATGTTTTCTCCCATGTTGTCTAAATATGGTAGCAATACTCCCTTGAAACATTATAGGTTTCAGAGCCCATCCTAGTCCAACTCCCTTATTTTACAGATAGTCTGAGGTTTAGGAAAGTTAAATGTCTTGCCTGAGGTTACACGGTCAGGAAGAATCAGACATGGGATTTGAACGCACATTTTCTGGTGGTAGAACCACTCCTCACTCCACTGTACCTCCCTCTCCTGATAAGAGATTTACAACCCTACTGTAATCTATCATTTTAGGGCACTATCTGGGGCACTAAGAGATGACCATATTCACATAGTTGTTATGTGTCAGAGAGGACTTGAATCCAGATCTTCATTATTTACTATTCCAAAGTGATTGTCTATCTTCTCATAAATATAATAATTAAACTATGAAGTTTTCAAAACATGCTACATACATTATTTTACTTGAGTCTTATGGTCATCACTAGGGAAGGTTAGGTACTGCAACTGTGAGGAAACAAACTCCAAGAAGCGCTGTGACTTGCAGAGGCAATGGTAAAAGCCAATTTTCCCTACTGCCAAGGCTGGCCTGCTATCATCTATATCACACTGTTGCAATTCTATATATTATAATTTTAATCAAATTAAAAATATACAATAGTACAGTCTCCTTGTCCTAGACCATCCTTGTTATTATAATCACAATATTTTCCCCTGTTCTCTCTTTATGAAGAATTCTCTTTTTTTTTTAATAAGGAAATTAGGATTAAATGACTTGCGCAGGGTCACACAGCTAGTAAGTGTCAAGTGTTTGCTCTGAGGCGGGATTTGAACTCAAGTCCTCCTGACTTCAGGGCCAGTGCTCTATCCACTGCACCACCTAGCTGCCCCAAGAATTCTTAAAAATAAAGCTGTGAGCACACTTTCCCCTTCCTGTAGCCCTTTAGAATAGATCTGTTCTTTATTTAATACTCTTCAGGAAAATACCGCTTTTGTATGTAGGTATATGTTTCATAATGATCCAGGAGCAATTTCACTGCAAAGTGAGCCGCAAGATCGTGGTACTCGAGATGTGATGATGATGGTTAATAATAACAATAATAACTAGCATTTACGTAGTGCTTTAAGGTTTACAAAGCACTTTGCAAATATTCCCTTATTTTATCCTCACAACAACCTTGGGAGTTGTGTTATTTCTACAGGTAGGTTCTATTATTATCCCCATTTTACAAATGAGAAAACTGTGGTAGGCCGAGGTTGAGTGACTTGCACAGGGTCACACATTAACTGTGTTTAAGTGTCTGAGGCTGGATTTGAACACAGGTTTTCCTAATTCCAGGTCCAGTGCTCTATCCATTATAGCTGCCTGTAAAAGTAGGCTAGCTGAGGGTTGGTGTGCTTCTGACCAATATCAGAAGGAATCACATCTCAAATTAAGCAAAGACTAAGTTAATTCTGAGAAAGGGAGGTAGCCGCATGGTATGGAGGAAATAAAATTGATGTTGGAGTCAGAAGCTTTGGAATTGAATGCTGGCTTTGCTGCCTATTAGCTATGTGACTTCAGGCTCACCCAATCTGGGCCTCAGTTTCATCACCTGTAAAATTGGGAGCTCAGTCTGAGTGATCTCTAAGATCCTGTCTGCTTTGCTAGTGTTGCATTGTGTGAGATGTGAGCATGCTTACTTGTTAGTGAGTGACCGATCCTTAGTCATTTAAGAGATGAAATTGATCAAAGAATAAATAAGAGAGTTGAAAATTGCACAAAGGTTTGAAAGGTATTGTTTTAGTTAGTATTATGCAGAATGTAGCTTAAGTCATAAAAATATAAGAATGACCATCATTTGTCTTAGAACAAATTTAAGGTTGGTTAGAAGACTTTTAGGTTCTTCTCTCTCTCTCTCTCTCTCTCTCTGTTTTGGCGGGGGGAGGCTACTGGGGGTTAAGCGACTTGTGTCTGAGGTCGGATTTGAACTCAGGTGCTCCTGACTCCAAGGCCAGTGTTCTATCCACTGTACAACCTAGCAGCCCCTGCCTTTCGTGTACTTCTAAAGTTAGTGTGGCATTATATTCGAGCCTATTTTTTTTAGGACATTAAGTGAAAGAATTTATGATCTCACAGTAGCAAAACATTTAATTTAATTGGCTCAGCATCATGACATTTCCAGTGTATTTTTGCTGATGAGAGGTAGCACCCAACAAATAGTGAACACTTAATAAATGCTTGTTAATAGATCGATTGGCTCAGTGGATAGTTGATGTTGTCAGAAACAAGTTCATTAAGAGGTAATTTGGTGAGGAAATGTGAAAGGACGCGGCAAAACTTTGGTCTTTTCAGAATAGGTTAACTTTACTATTTATTTCTGGTTGGCTGATTTTTTTTTTGATGGGCGGGAGGGGAGACAAAGGAGAGGGATGTAATTCTATGCTTTCACCAATGTAGGGAGCTCCCAGAGTGAGAAAACTCCCTGTAATGGGGAAAAAATTTTACTTTGGTTTCAGAGGACCTTGGGTTCTAATCCCAACTCTTATGCTTACTACCGGTGTGACCTTGGGCAGATACTTAATTTCTCTTGGCCTCAGTTTCCTCATCTTCAAAATGAAAGGGTTGGACTAGTAGACAGCCTCTGAGGTTCTGTCTAGTTCTAAATACATCCTGTGAATGCAGGTTTGTGATAGTTGAGGGCTACTTCTGAAACATGGAATTCAGAAAAAGTGTTACTGTCTCCTCACTGACTACTAAAGCAAATAACTTGGATCTGTTTGAGGGTAAGCCTTATTCTACTTGTAAGGCAATGAGGAAATGCATTATTGGTCATTATTGACTTGAAGACTTAACTGAATTTTCTTCCCTTTCAGATTTCCAGTGAAGAAATTGCCACGAGGAAGGAACAGTTATCTGAAGCCCTTCAAACCATACAGTTGTTTCTCGCTAAACATGGTGATAAGTATGTTGAGTTTTATTAGCTGCTTTATAATTATTTAGGTAAAGAAAAATGGGGTTAGCATAGTACAGAAGAGAAGGCAGCTGAGCTCCTAAATCAGAAGATTGCTGTGACAAGTATACCAGGTTTACTTCTATGCTGGACCTATTTGTAGCATGGTAATACAGGGTTTCTGCTCCTAGTGATTGGGAAGTAGCCCCTATAAAACTACTTTTGCAGAGCCCTATAATAATGATATAGGAGAAAGGTAGATATGTAGGGATTTTGAGTGACACAGGACAGTTACAGGTGATCAGGTATTCCTAGGTAATACTCTCTCCCTTGTAACTTCTTTGTCTTGTGGTTATATAACATATTCTAAGAGATGAAAAGCTAAAGAAAAGTTCTCATTGTTTTACTTTGTGCCATTTTTTCAAATTTTTCTATTTTATTGCATGGTTGTGGAAAACTATGTTAATATTGTTAATATTGAAGAGAGGCACAAAGAAATCATATAGCCAGTCAGTAAGTGTCCTGGAGTAGGATTTAAACCCGTGGTTTCCTGATTTAAAATCCAAATGTCCTATCTACTGTGTTATTTTGCCTCTCTCATATTTCAGTTGTCACGTTCTTTGAGGGTGAAATTAACAAATGATATTTCTCCATACCTTCTAACAGCTCAGAGTTTTTAAACAATTTAAAAACAATTATATGTGTGCTGATGAGGTCCCTGTGTGTGTGTAAGTTTATATTGTGACAATCCTAAACTCTCTTTTAGGTTGGAACTGACTCTTTATTTTTTTTATGGATGGTCTTTGACTTTTCTATACAGTATATAGATTATAGCCATCCTAGAAAGGAGATAGTAATTTGTTTTGTGAGCATATTCTCATTTAAAGAAATAAGTTATTTTACAGTATATTGAGAAGCATAGTGATGTAGAAGATAAAGAGAGCTGGCCTTGGTGCCATGAAGACCTAGGTTCAAACCTTGACCCAGTATGACCCTGGGTAAGTCACTTAACCTTCTGGTGCCTTAGACAACTCTCTAAAAGTTTTGAGTTGCAGAGATGCTGACCTGAATTTTAGGGGGAGTTTGCTTACTTGAGAATTCCCTATATCAGTGAAACTTCAGGTCCCTAAAATCTTCACAGAATTATAGAAATTTACCTCTTTGCCTTTCACTAGTTGGTCTTTATTCCTATTTTTTAAAAAATGACTCATTTTTAAAAATGTTTTTTAAAAAATTACTTAAATCACTATTTATTTAAAAAATTTCTTATTTAAAAAACCCACACTCTTATTTTAGATTAACTGATGAAGAAAGAAATGAAATGGAAAAACAAATGAAATCTCTTCAAGAAGGTTACAACTTATTTAGTGACTCTCTGAAGCAACTTCAGGAATCACATATTCTAAGAGATGAAAAGGTGGAAGAGAAGGTAATATTAAGGAAAATTTTTCATTAGTTTATTTTGTGATAACTTTTCAAATTCCTCAGTTTTATTGCATGGTTGTGGAAAATGATGTTAATATTGGTCAAATTCCACTGGATTTTGTATGTATAAAAATCTTGATGTACAGTTAAATGCTTGCAGGTTTCGAAAGTGGTATATAGCAAATGCATCTTACCTATGCTGATCATCAACTTTTGTGAAGTCTTAATCTCTGCCTTGCATGATGAAAGATGTAAGAAGCATTCATTTTCTAACTCCATGTCTTTAAAAATTATTCTTCTAATATGAAATAAGGGTCTGTATCATTTTTTTTTAAATGATGATATGTAAATGGCCCAGAGCAGTCTGTGATTTATAATCTCTAAAGGAGAAGTTATTAATCTGGGGTCTGCAAACTTCAAAGAAAAAAATTTTTATAACTCTTTCAACATATTGATTTCTTTTGAAATCCTATGTATTTTACTTTAGGTGTTAACATATATTCTGAGAAGGGATCCATAGTCTTTGCCAGAAAGCCAAAGGGAGTCACAACACAAAAAAGGTTAAGAGCTCTTGCTTTTAAGGGATTCTCTAAGAATACCTTAAGAATACCTAAGAATGTCTTTTAGGATTTGTTTTGTTTCCAGAGTTTCCATGGAAATATTATTCGAATACTTTTGGGTTGAATACTCTAAGAAGAATTAACTCTTCTTATATGGAAACTCAGGTTTAAATGTCACTTATTTAAATTTTAATCAGATCTTAAGTATTTGTACTTGGAATTCAGTGATGCATATTGGCATATCCAAACAGAAAAGTCCAGTGAAACTAAACATTACATTCAAATTGACATTTTCCAAACTTGTGGATTATAGCCACAAAAATTAATTGCAATTTGCGGAGGGGTCCTGTTTGACTATATAGAAGTGTTGTATGCTGTAAACATGGATAGCATGGTGTTTGGTTTTGTCAGCGTCCATACGATCTAACCTGACCAAGATGCAGAAAGCATGACTTGCCTTCTAAATATAGGTTCTGTTTTCTCGCTGTCATCACCTACTCTACTGTGTCTTCACTAACCCTGTTTATATACAGAGATAAGTTTTCAATTCACAGATGCATGTTGATTTCAAAGCTTTTATCACATCCTGTGCTGTTGAATAGATCACTGACATAGATCACTTGTGCATTTGAGCTGCCTAACATTCACAACATTGCTACAGCCCTGGTAAGTAGAGGACTTTATGTTGAAATGTATTATTAGAAATGCAACCAAGTTTCATAAAAATTATTCCCGCTTATTTGAGATCAACTAAAACTAGACATTTTGTATTTTCCTTTTAGCTGGATAAAGTCATTGCAGGTACCATTGATCAAACAAGTGGAGAAGTCCTTTCAGTCTTTCATTCAATTTTAAGAGGCCTTGTTGATTATGAAACTGGAATCAGGTTGCTGGAGATGCAGCTAATTCTCTCTGGTCTGATTTCACCAGAGCTAAGAAAATGTTTTGATCTTCAGGAGGCTGAAAATCATGGCCTTATTGATGGACAGATTCTGTTTCAACTTGAGGAACTAGGTAAAGCTAAGGAAATTATTTCGTCAGTATCATCTGCAACAATCCCGGTTCTAGATGCTTTTGATAAAGGTATGATTTCAGAGTCTGTGGCCATCAGGATTCTTGAGATACAGCTTTCTACAGGATTTCTGATCATTCCATCCACAGGAGAGTGCCTGACCTTACAGAAGGCTTTTCAGAGAAACTTGATTTCTTCAGCATTGTTTTCTAAACTCTTGGAAAGGCAAAACATATGCAAAGACCTTATTGATCCAAATACTTCAGAGAAGGTCTCCTTAGTAGATATGGTTCAAAGAAGTATCCTGTATGAAAATACTGGAATGCGACTTCTGCCTATAAGACCACGAGAAGGAGGTAGAATAACACTAAAATGTGGAAGGAGGATCAGTATTTTAAGGGCAGCTCATGAAGGTCTCATAGATCGTGAAACCATGTTTAGACTGGTAGGAGCACAGCTTCTTTCAGGTGGTTTGATTGATTCTGATTCTGGGCAGAGAATGACCATTGAAGAAGCCATGCAGGAAGGGGCAATTGACATAGGTACAGCTAATTGTATTCTCACTCATCAGGTGCAAACAGGTGGGATCATAAGTTCAAATCCACCCAAACGCTTAACAGTAGATGAAGCAGTCCAGTGCAATTTAATATCATCTAGCAGTGCACTTTTGATACTAGAGGCACAAAAGGGCTTTGTGGGCCTCATTTGGCCTCATTCTGGTGAAATATTTCCTGCATCTTCCTCATTGCAGCATGAGTTGATTACAAATGAATTGGCATACAAAATACTCAATGGCAGGCAAAAAATAGCTGCTCTTTATATTCCTGAGACTTCTCAAGTTATTGGTCTGGATGCTGCTGCACAGCTAGGTGTTATAGATCGTAATACAGCATCTATTTTAAAAAATGTCGTACTGCCTGATAAAATGCCTGATGCAGGAGACCTGAACACTTCCTGTAAAACTGCTAGAAGATGGTTATCCTCTTGTGAGTTTCAACCATCGACCATATTCCATGAATATATACAGCAAGAAGATACTTCAGATGGAGGAGAGCATATGGAAACTCAAACCTTAGAACAATCACAGAATTTATTCTTATCTTATTTGATGATAAACAGCTATATGGATGCAAATACAGGGAAAAGACTTTTGCTATATGATGGAGACTTGGATGAAGCTATCAGTATGTTATTGGAAAATGATAGCACAGCATTTGGTGCAATGTCAGCAAAAAAAGAATTGCTTGACACAAATTTAAGACAATTTGGGGATGTTTTATTTAATAGTACTTCAAATAAAAAGGATGATTGCTCACCAAGTAGTTTTGATGGGACTTGTTTCAAAGAGCCTGAAAATGGGATAACTGTTCAAAATAGGAAAAGTATAGTCAATGAAGAAGAACTTAATGATTTAGTACAACCTGGAAAGATGGATAATGGAATGCTTAGTGGTGATTATGAAAATATATTTAAAAGTTGCAAAGATGTAAATCAAGTAGGAACTACTGCCAGTGTAGATAAATGCACTTATTCTGAAAATTTTCAAAATGTTTTCTCAAGTGATGAAAACAAAAATTTTATTGAAGTCTCCACCAGTAGAAGAGTTTGTGCTCTGGATGAAACAGAAAACCAACATAACAAGATCAAGGACCCCAATATCCTTGAAAATTCTTCAAGTGAAAATCACTTATTCCATTCAGATCAAATGGGAGTCCACCAGGGAAGTAGTAATAATATGTTTACCTCAGATAGCTGCTTTCAGAAATCTCTCATTTCTCCTTTGCCATTCAGTGATCAAACTGTATTACTTGATCCCGAAACTGCAGAGAGTTTTCAAGGTAGACTTCTGGACAACGTAGATAATAGCATCAGTTTACCAAGAGGATCATCTGAATCTAAGTCATTAAATGTTGATTGTAACGTTCCCCAACTGCAGTGTCGGAGGGATAATTTTGACTGTTCAAAATATTTAGGGAATGAGAGTGAGGCTGGCAAAATGCAGGTGGTTGTTTCTTACCCAGAATCCAAAAGCAATCAGGATGATTCTGAGCTTGAAGAATATTCAGTCAACTCAGCTCTGAGAGGTGATACACCTGATATTTGTGGAATCCAGCAGTTTGAGGAAACTGACAGGGCTAAAGATTCTCAAGATTCTCAGCTAGAGGATTGTGAAAGTGAAACAGAGAGTGATGATGATTCTTATAGTACTCCACTGATAGATGATGATGATGACCATGATTCTTTACTTCTTGAAGACGATGATTATGATTGTTTGGAACCTGAAGACTTTGATATGCTGCAGCGTGAAGCAGATGGCACCCCCCATCGTGGATGTGTTTGTGCTGGCATTTCAGTTGGGGACAAAAGCCACATAGTTACTCAAGGGGAAAGATCAGATCTGACAAATATGAAGGAGGAAACACAGTCTTTTCAAGAATTTTTCAAGGTATCCAAAGAGAATGAATTACATTCTGATGAAGAATTAAACTCAGGTTCTGTTGACATAGAGGTGACAAATGGCAGGTTACTGGACACTATATTGGAAGAGGAAAGCACAAGTAATTTCGAAGATGATGTGCTTGGGACAGTAACTTCAAAAAGTACAGAAAGAAAGGAGAACATCCAAGCTTCATCAGAAGCAAGTGAAACTGGACATTTGATAGGCAGAAGAGAACGAGATATATTTAGGCAAGAAGCTGGTTTTGATGTTGATCAAAATGTTCAATGCATGCAGAATGAGGACAGTTATAGAAATAGGAAGCATCTGTCTGCTGTTAATTATCAGATTGAATGTGATGGGGATAGGGTGCTTGAAATGTCCACATCTCAGGATAAGGATGGAAGCCTCATAGGTGCACAAATGTCAGCGACTTCACATGAAAAGAAAGGCAGTGATGATATTGTTGGGAGTAGAATGGTGAAGATAAAATCCACCAGAGAAACTCAGAAGTTTCCTAATTTAGAAACACTCCAGGGTGTTAATTGTCTACAGCCAGAATCAACCAGTGAAACTAATTTAGTCACTAAAGGAGTCATCCTTCCAGAATATATGTCTGAGGTTGTAGGTCAAAGCAGAGAAAGTCAACTTAATAGTGAAAGGGACCTTGAGAAGTTTGCAGAAAACAAACTTACAGTACAGTCCCTCATTCATGATAAAGAATCAGGAAAAAATGTTGGTGCTGACAGTGTTTTATGTAATAATGATATCAATTCTGTCTCTCAAATAGATAATAGTGATTCAGGGAACAGTGAGACTAAGATAATGCAGCCAGGTTTGGACTCCCTTTTGGTAGTGAAAGATGAAAATCAGCATACTGGGAGCTTGACAGGTACAACAGAAAATGTATGTTCTGATGGTGGTGTAAAAGAAAAACCTTCCCAAGCAAGCCATCCATGGATAATGACAGCCTCCATCGATCAAGATCACCAAAG